ACACCTGAGGCAAAGCTTTGATGTTTGCCTCTTGGGGCTCTCTTGGGAAGGGTCGGGGCTCTCTTGGGACGTCTTGGAGGCCTCTTGGGCCGACTTGACGCCGCGTTGGGCGTCTTGGGCCGATCGTTCGGTGATTCGGAGCCCTCTTGGACCGTCTTGGGGGCCTCCTCTTTTGGCCCTCTCGGCGCGCTCCGGGGGGCGTGGAAGGCCGCGCCCAGGAGGGAAGCCATCTCTGAGTAATAGTTACCGGGCTGCGGTCGGGGTGCTTTTCGCCGGGGGGGCCCCAGGGGCCGCCCCGCGCGCGCGAACTAGAATTATGGTTAACCAGTTACCGGAGATCTTAGCACGCCTCTGGCCCGTTGGGCCGGCGAATTGCTCTGTTCACCGTTTGCCCTTGGGATGTCAAGCAGCGTTTGCGCGAGGGCATCAGTCGCGCCCAAGTGCGGCATATTTTGGAGGCGACTCCCGGGGCTTGCGGCGATGAGCTTGTCTTGGGGGGGGGGGGGGCGCCTGGGAGGGGGGTGGCGCGCGCGCTCAGATATAGGGGCGTCGGCTGTTAAGGGCCCTCCTAGGCAGGCGGCCCTGAGAGGCCCGATCAGCGGGAAACTTTGGCCGCCAGCCAAGAAGCATCAGCATGGCTGCGTAGCCAGCCCCAAGTGCGAATTCGGTTGCGATGCTCTTGGCACTTTCGGTCACCAGTGGTATGAGCGTAAACGAGTTTGGGAACCCAGTGGTGACCCAGCCGAGACATCCCTGTTTCCAGGCGACGTGATTGAGCATGTGAATTGGCTGCGGGACAAAGCGAAAGGCATTCCCCCCGACTTCGACACTCTGGAGTTTGCGTATGGTGTTCCTCTCTGCCCCCTCAGCATTGCTCTTGCCCCAGCCAAGTATTATCCCCAGTTCTGGGGTGCCACGAACACGCCGTGGGGCTTTCAGTTTTTTACCGACGGTTCTGGGCTTTCGAACGGCCCACCCGAAGCTTGCCGCTGCGGGCGGGCCGTGGTCGAGCTCAGTCCTAGGGGCTGGCCCATTCGGGCGTGTTTTGGGCCGTCCAGGGGCCGTCCAGACCGCCCCCAGGGCCGAAAGGCATGCGTCGCCACAGGCGGTCCGCCTCGGCCCGAGACGAGTTGAGATTATCAGTGATCACCTCTCTGCGGTGCAAGAGGCATCGAGCTGGTCTGTCGAGTTGGCTACGGGTTGTCGCAAGCATGCGTGCATCTGGCGAGAGTTTCCGTTGTGTCCAGCATGAGTTCCGCCCAGTGAGAAGCCCCGGGTCCACTGGGCCCCAGCCCACGGAGACCTCGACTCCCTCTTGTTTGGCCAGTGCGTTTCGAGCTTGGATCGAACCGTGGACGCTGCGGTTTTCGATTATCTGGGCAACATGTGGGCAGATTTCTTTGCTGAGCTGGGGGCGAAGCAGCATGCCATTGCTAACGTCGCCACCGCCACTTTAAATTCGCATTCGAAGGACGTGAACAAGGCGCGCAGATTTCTGGGTCAGGTCGCTCAGTTTCTCGTGTCTCAGGCTGGTTCCTCTTCCATGTCTGCGAGGCCCTGCCGTGACCCCTTGGCGGTGCCTCAGCTTTCCCTCCTTTCTCACGGCCTGGAGGTGGCGGAGAGTGAGGGGGGTGAGGTGCACGTGGTGCCGCTGCTCAGGCAAGACTTCGCTCTCTCGAGCAAAGCTTGAGCAGCCTGGCAATAAGTGTGAGCCCGCGCTGCTCCACTTGTATCTCGCGGCTGTTAGCGCCGAGCGTCACACTGGCCTCTTCCCCGGGGCGCGTAGTAATGCTGTCTTGAACGCCTGTCGTGAGCTGGGGCTCACATATAATGGCCTGCACGCGCGGGCTCTGGAAACTCTCGAGTATCGGGGCCATTGCGCGCAGGCCACAGACAAGTTTTTGATGCGCCGCCGCTGCGGCGCCCGTGCCCCCATCGAGACCTCAGTTTGGAGGGGCCTTTTGGCGGACTGCCGAGGCCCTGCTGAGAGGGCCTCAGTGCAGGCCTGGCGCATTGATGCTGCTCTAGCGGGTCGCGAGGTCCGCTGGGTGGTGCAGGCTATGGCGGCAGGCAGCGGCTGGTGCCGTCGTGCTGCTTGCCACCGCGGCCTGTGCCCTAGTGGCCCTCGGCTTGTGCTGAGGGCTGCGGGGCCGTGACGCACGGGAATCCCGCGCCCCCCATTTGTCCCCCTTGCCCGCCAGCCCACATCCGAATCGGATGTTGCGCCTCGGCCTGATCCTTGATCCCTGTTCCTCGTCCTTCCCCTCCTTCCATCCCAGCCTCTGCCTTCCGCGTGCGCATTTTAGCACACCCACCGTACGTTTCGTGGCCCCAGAAGGAGCTCCAACTAAGGCGGCAGTGGTTGCGTCCGCATGCCGCCGCCACCCCACTTTGGCGCACCCATCACGCGCGTCGCGGTCAACAGGGAGCTCCACCGAATGCCCCCCTAGGGAGGGTTCGCATGGACTTGCGGACTCATTTCGGCACACCTCTCGCGCGTTTCGTGGCCCCATACAAAGCTCCGCCGAAGGCCCCAGTGGGAGGGTTCGCGCGGCACCACCGCCCCATGTCGGCCCACTTCGGCGGCGCCGCCGCCGCCGCCCCATTTCGGCGCACCTCGCGTACGTTTCGTGGCCCCATAGGGAGTCCCACCTCAGACCCCATCGCCTGCGTTCGCATACCGCCGCGTCCGCCGCACATTGGCGCATCTCTCACGCTTCGTGGCCCCATCGCGAGCCCCACCTAAGGCCCCAGTGGCTGCGTTCGCATGCCGTCGCCGCACCACTGGCGCACCCATCACATGTTTTGCGGCCCCATGGGGAACCCCACCTAAGGCCCCAGCGTCTGCGTTCGCATGACGCCTTCACCCCTCTTTGGCGCATTTCTCACGCGCTTCGTGGCCCCATGGGGAGCTCCAGCCAGGGCGCCAATGGCTGCGTTCGCATGCCGTCGCCACCTTCCTTTGGATTACCCGTTGCACGCTTCGTGGCCCAGATCCGAGAAAAAAGGTCCAGATCCCAACTTGGCGGTTGATACCCCAATTCGGCGATCCAGATCCCAGCCGGTAGTCAATTCAGAACGGTCCAGACCCCAACCCGTCTTACTCGAGCTTCTCAGCTGTTGGAGCGCTTGGAATGCGCTACGCAGGCACTTGATCGGCGTTTCACAGGCGCTTCCTTGAGGGCTCCTCTTCGGCTTCGTGCAGCATTCCCGTGATTTCTTCTGAGGCCTCCCGAAGGGTCCTCGAGGAATCTTGGGGTGTTCCTGAGGATTCGTTGAAGGCTTCCTGATGGACTCCTGAGGTGCTCCTGAGAAATATCTGAGGATTCTGGAGAAACCCATGGAGATTCCAGAAGGATTTTTGCGGGATTCCTGCAGATTCCTGAGGATTACTTCGGATTTGCAAGGATTCCTGACGGGTCCCGAAGGGAATCCTGAGGATCCTGGAAGAGTGTGTTCGGATTTCTCAGGGATTCCTGAGGTTTCCGGAAGATTCCGGGATTCTGGAGGAATTCCGCACGGTTGTTTACGGGATTCTTCCGGGATTATATTGTATTCTTTTGGGATTTCTTAGCGATTCTTGAGGGCTCCCGAGGGATACTTGAGGATTCTTCGGGGATTCCGGAGGAATCTTGAAAGAGATTCTGGAGGATTTTTGTTGATGGGTTCCCGAGAGTTTCCTGCTGGTTTCTTGAAGCATCTTTTGAGGTTCCTTGGTGGGTTTGTTAGAAGGATTCCGGAGAATTCCTGAAGGTTCACGGGGATTCCCGAAGGACTCCTGTATAGCTCCCAGGAAACCCGTGAGGATTCCAGATCGATTTGTAAGGACTCTTGAGGGATTATTGAACATGTCGAGGGGCGTTTACCTTCATAGACGTGTCAAACACGTTGCTCATACTCATGCGTTGAACGTCCTTCGCGCGTTCTTGAAGAGTCCCGCTTGCGTTTCGCATTCCTTTCTATGGACTTTCGGATACGCGCGCCATGCGTTTTGCAGTCATGTGATACAAGTGCCGTATACGTTTCGTTTACGTTTGTATGCATCGCCGTCTTGGTGTGCTTTGAGCCCGTGTAAGGCCCCCTGGAGTATTTCGAACGTACAAATAATAGCGCAGCGGAGCTGTTTAGGTCCCAATTGCGCACCTTTTTGCACCGAATGAGTTCCCTTGAGGAAATCGGTCGGTGTTCATCGTCAAGACGATCATGCAATAACAAAGTTTTTATATGTTTCGTCCGGCGGTTGGGATCTCGGTTTTCTCACCAGTTGGTGTTTGGACCGCCGTCCTTCTAGGATTTGGCTCCATTGCCTAAGGCCCCACTGGCTGCGGTCGCATGCCGCCGCCACCCCATTTTGGCGCACCCCTCTCATTTTCCGTGGCCCCATGAGGAGCTCAATCTAAGGCTCTAGTGGCCGCGTTCGCATGCCGCCGCCATCCCACTTTGGCGTACCCCTCACATGTTTCGTAGCACAATAGGCTTGGCTCTTCTTTACAGCTCCCTGGGCGTTTTTTTCTTGGGGGGGGGGGGAAACAACGGAAACAACGTTTTGCATTTGGGGTTTTTGGCCAGCTGAAGGGCTAAAACAGCACAGCGTTTTTTGTTTTAAGCGTTTTTATGCCCGTGGTTGAGGATCTTCATTCCCAACCATCTGTGGTGTTGAGTCCTCGTTTTGAAGAGACAGCTCCCCGCGTTCCCGCTCCTCCTTCCCTCCCTCCTTCCATCATCATCATCATCATCATCATCATCATCATCATCATCATCATCATCATCATCATCATCATCATCATCATCATCACCATTATCGTCATAATCACCATCATCGTTACGGTCATATGCAGCGTCATCGTCATCATCATCACCATCATCATAATCATCATCATCATCATCATCATCATCATCATCATCATCAGAATCCTCATCTTCATCACCATTACCCTGGAGAAGGCTGGACAGAGACCAGGCGTGGCGTTGGAGGTCTGGGGCCGGAGGCAGTCTTTCAGAGTCCGCTAGCCGTGCCCATAGGCGGCAGCTGGGGGCGTTCAAGAGGGGGCTGATGACTAGGGGGTAGTGGATAGCATGGCCAGGGCAATGACATCTCCCTGGATTTCACGACGCCCTTCTCACTTCAAGCCGTCCCTTGGCCCCCCCCTGCACGCACCACGGGCCATGATCTGCGAGCCCCCTCCGGGACGCCACCTCATGGACGCCCCCGAACGAGGAGCGCATATCTCGGGTCGGGCGAAAGGGGGGGTTTGGGAAAGGGGGGGTTACGAAATTTGCTGCACGCAGCTGGCTTCGGCCCCGCCGCCGGGCCCATTCCTCGATGCATGGGCGCCTCCCGGCGCCGGGAGGCGCCGGGAAAATCAGCTGCGTGAGCTGATTCTCAAACCCCCCCTTTGCTACTTATCCCCCCCTTTCGCCCGGCCCGAAGATCTGCGTGCACACTCCGAGCCATCCCGTCGGGCACGTGGACCGTCGGCCTCGCGCGCCGCGCCGCCAGCGCCGGCCCACCACGCTCCGGCGCAGCGCGCCGACCACGCCCCGCTGTCCCCGAGCGCCCGCGCCCCGGGCTCGTCCCGGTTCCCCCCCCCGCCCCGCAGTCGGGGGCGGATAAGAGGGGGGGTGATGACCAGGGGGGTGATGACAACGTGAGAGGGGTGTTTCCGCCCCGGGGGCGGGGGGGCGGGCTTCCTTTCCTCTCGTGTTCTCCTCTCCTCCTCCTCCTCCTCCTCCTCCTCCTCCTCCCTCTTCTCTCCTCTCGCCACCCACTCACGTTGACCCCTCTCACGTTGGGGTGATTTCCGCCCCGGGGGGCGGAACAGAGGGGGGTGATGACTAGGAGGGGGTTTTATATCTTGGCGCGTGCCATGATATTTCCCCAGATCTCATGGCGCCTCTTCTTGTTCCATTACGTCCCTGGCCCCCCCGCTGGGCCGCGCACATTCCGCCGGTCATGATCTGCGCCCCCCCCTCTTGGACACCCCCCTTTGGGCCGCTCCCGACGCAGGGCAGAGCGGCACGCCGCCCCCTCGAAGGGCGTATGCGTCTCGCCGGGGCCGGCGCCGCCGCGGCACGGCGAGCCAAGGCTCACGGCCGTAACCACGAGCTGTGTGGAGCATCGCTGGACCGACCCCCGTGCCCGCCCCCATGCCAATCCAGACCCCCACCATTTGACCACCACAGCCTGGGGCCGAAGCTCGAAGGGAGAGGCCTGCATCCCCCATCGGGGGGGGGGGCGAGTCGGCCAGCACTGGAGGCCCAGGCCACGTCTTTTGGTGTGGGAGTCGGTTGAGCGATGCGCGCATGTGTCTTCTCTCCGAGGGGCGCACTCTCTAAGAGAGGGGGCGCTCCATCGGGACGAGGCCCGGCGTGCGGATCGGTGCGGCGCTGGTGCCATGGGTTCCGGAGGGAGGGATGCGAGGCCAAGGTCGGGCGTTTCGTAGCTGGGGTCGGCGGTGCCTGTTATGCGCGGCCCACCATTCAGCTCTGATGGGATGTGGCCTCGGATGCTTAGCGCTCCCCGCGCTGCACGATGCAGAGCCGAAGTTGCTATGGGGCAGCCTGATGCTGGGCATAATAAATCCAGATGACTCCCCCCTGGCGGCGCGCACAACGGGGTGGGAGGAGAAGGGGGAAAACGCTTCTCAGAGGGAGGCTGCTCAGCTGCTTCTTCAGAGCGCGCGCCTCACATCCATGCACGCCGGTCGTTGAAAGTAGGTATTTCTGTATCCCAGATCCCAATCGATTTCAAGCGCCTTCCTACTTCGAGCATCAACCTGCTGTTGCCGCGTTGTGTTATTATCTGGGAGGGCCTGAACCCCATGTACTTTATCTCCGCCTTCATCCTCCAAGGTGTTCACCCACTTCTCCCGACCGACGTGCAGATGTAGGGCTGGCGCCCTCTGAGAAGTAGCCTCCTCCCAAGAAGTTTCGCCCCCCCCTGGCCTGGTGCGCGCCCCCAAGGGGGGGGGGGGGGGAATCAAGGGCCGCAGGAGAGGTGGGTGCCTGGAAGGGGCCCCCAAGGGCCCCGGAGGGGCACGAGAGGCGCACCTCTCGTCTCTCCCACGCGGACTGCCTCCTTCTCCTCCGCCTCCTCCTTCTCCTCCGCCTCCTCCTCCTCCTTGTCATCCTCCCCTCCTCCTCCTCCTCCTCCTCCTCCTCCTCCACTTCCGTCCCTCCTCCTCCTCTTCCGTCCCTCCTTATCCTCCGCCTCCTCCTCCTCCTCCTCCTGCTCCTCCTCCTCCACCACCTCCTCCTCTCCTCCTCCCTCCCTCCTCCTCTCCTCCTCCTCCTCCTCCTCCTCCTCCTCCTCCTCCTGCTCCTCCCCCTCCTCCCCCCCTCCTCCACCTCCTCCTCCTCCTCCTCCTCCTCCTCCTCCTCCTCCTTCCTCCTCCTCCTCCTCCTCCTCCTCCTCCCCCTCCTCCTGTTCCTCCTCCTGTTCCTCCTCCTCCTCCTCCTCCTCCTCCTCCTCCTCCTCTCTTGGCTCCCCCGCTGGCTGCCTCCTGCTCCTTTTCCTGCTCCTCCTGCTTCTCCGCCTCCTCCTCCTCCTCCTCCTCCTCCCTTCTCGCCCCCCTCCCCCCCTCTCCGGGGGGAACGTAGAGGCGGGGGCAGTGCCGAGGTCGGATTGGAGGAGAAGTTCGCTCGACGCGCCCTCCTGGAAAAAGGGAAGTGCGTGCAAGCCAGCTGGGCTCGATCCCGAATCCCGCCTTGGGAAAGCCCCCCTCTCTCCGAGGCGGGAATTTATACATGGCCACCGCCTGGAGGGTCCGTTTTCGGAGCCTCGGCAGGCGGTGGATCTGGACATATTCGGGCCCCGGGGGGCCGAAGTGCATCCACGTCCGCCGCCCGCTGGGGCACCAGGACGACGGTTCCCAGGCGGTGGCTGTGGACAACTCCCCGCCTCGCACTCTCGCCCCCCCCCCCTGGTGAGCAAACGCCCGGCCGAGGTCGGGGGGGCCAGAAGAGCACGCGGCCGGCACGAGCTCCTCGCGCGCTCGCGCGCGGCCCCTCCGCGCGGGCGCGCCGGGCGCCGCCGCCGCGAGCCACGGCGCGCTCCGCGCCCCGGGCAGACGGGCGCCCGCCGGGGGGGGCCGCGCGCTGCTGTCCGGGGTCCAGGCCTGCGCGTGCGTTGCTCGGAGGTGGATCGGCCTCCTACCCTGGCGCGTCGGCTGCGGGATCGGCCGCCTGCGGTTCGCGGGTAGGCGTCGCCGCCGCCGTTCCGTGGCGGGTCCAGGCCCGTCGGTTCCGGCCCCAGGCCGTTTTTTCGCGAAGGGGAGGTTTGCGAAGGGGAGGCTCGTCCACCGCCGAGCTGAGGAAGCGCAGGCGTGGATGCAGGCGCGTGGGCTGGCGCGACGTCGGGGCCCCATGGGGGACATTGCAGGAGGAGGAGGAGGAGGAGGAGGAGGAGGAGGAGGAGGAGGAGGAGGAGGAGGAGGAGGGACGCCCTCATTGTTCCCGCTTCCATACGGCACCGGCGAGCTCCGTCGCCCACTCGAGCGGCCCATTCGGGCGGCCTCGGCGCGGCGTTTCGGGGGGCACCTTCCCCGATCCGTGGATCGGGCGCCCACGCGCCAGATCCACGGATCCCTCATCCATGTCAGCGTGTGCCCGAGTTTGCGGGGGTCTTCGCAAGACTTCAGAAGTTCTCGCGGGATCTTGGGGGTTTTCTCGCTTCGGGATGTCTTCTCGCCTAGAGCGCCCCGGGTGTTCTGGCCTGGAACCTATGTCTCCGCGGTTGATGCCTACGCGTGTGCTTTTCTGCCCTCCCGTGAGGAACTGGGCCTGGAGGGTTGGCTTGGCACTCCAGCGCGCCTCCGCGCGGCGGGCGCCTGAATTTTCACGGTTCCTCGCCAGCGGCGTTTTTTTTGTTGCGCCGACTTTTTAGAAGCACTCGTCCTTTGTGCCATGGCCATCCGCGCCTCCGCCTCTCCTCCATCCTCCCCCTCCTTCTCCTCCTCCTCCTCCTCCTCGTCCTCCTCCTCCTCCTCGTCCTCCTCCTCCTCCCTCCTCCTCGTCCTCCTCCGCCTCCTCGCCCTCCTCCTCTTCGCCCTCCTCCTCCTCCTCCCCCTCCTCCTCGCCCTCCCCTCCTCCTCGCCCTCCTCCTCCATCCTCCTCCATCCTCCCCGTGGCCCCGTTTCCGCCTCCGCCTTCGCCAGTCTCTGCCGGCCTCTCTCGGGGGGCAGCAGCTGTACGGATCCGCCTCGCCCTTTCCCCCCTCTCCCAGGGAGCGGGGATAGCAGTCGGAGAAGGAGCTTGTTATCGCTCGGACGTGTGCACTTCTCTTTTGGCGGGGACTATTCAGGAGCATCCTGGATCATCCTGCGAGAAAACCACACACGTAACCGAGGAAAGCACAGGGAGTGGACGTCCGAGCGGTGGCCAGGGGGGAGGGAGGGATGGGGGAGGCAGTTGGATCTCTGGAGCCCTTCGTCGCCCATGTTTTGCCCCCGTTACCTGGCCGTGTCTTCGACCCTGCGGCCCTGCGGCCCGTCCTCCTCCTCTGCTCGCCCCTTCCCCCCGCGTGCCCCTGTTCCTCGCCTCCCCTCGCCACCCATCCCTCCCAGCCCCCTCCCCAGCTCCGCACCCCTTCTCACCGCTGCCTTCCGCCTTTCTCTCTTTTTGTTCTCGCTCTCTCTCTCTCTCTCTTTCTATCTCTCCCTCCCTCCCCATGTATGTGTATATATGTATCGATCGATGCATATATAAATATGTATATACACATATATATATATATATATATATTCACATATATATATACATATATATGCATACGCATATATATATACATATATATTATATTATATATTATATATATATATATATATATGCGTAGCACTCCGCAGTTGCGGATAGGAGTGGGGGGGTGGCGGGGACGTCGGCAGTCTGCGAGGCTCTGAAGAAGCCCGCCGCAGGCGCACCATTTTGACACAATCGCAACGAGCCCGCCGCAGGCGCCGATTTTTTCGTTAAAGCCGTGTGGGTGGGTCGCGGGGTGGGTCGCAGGTGGATCGCGGGTGGTTCGCAGGTGAGTCGCGGGTGGGTCGCGGGCCGCGTGCGGGCCGCGTCGCGGGTGGGTCGCAGGTGGGTAGCGGGTGGGTCGCGGGCCGGGTCGCGGGCTGGGTCGCGGGCTGGGTCGCGGGATCGGGCGCGGGGTCGGTCGCAGGTGGGTAGCGGGTGGGTCGCGGGTGGGTCGCGGGCTGGGTCGCGGGTGGGTCGTGGGGTGGGTCGCTGGGGGGACGACGCCAAACAATAACAACGAACAAACAAACAAACAAACAGTTTAAGATAACAGCACAAACAAATAAACAACAACAACCGCCACCGTCACAATAACAATAACACCAACACCAGCAGCAGCAACAACAACACCAACAACAACAGCATCGGCAATCACAGCACCAACAGCAGCATCAGCAGCAACAGCAACAACGCAACGATAACGACAACAAGAACAGCAACAACCACAACAACAATCAGTTTAAGACTGTTCGCTCTTAACTGCTCACGTGCCAATCACTACGTGTATCCTAATGCCTCGGTGTCCACCCTCGTCGTCTTCGATCGTACCCCCATCGGGAGTATATCTTCCTTACCTGCCACGTGCAGTTAGTAAAGCCCCTCGAACAGGGGAAGAGAGGACGGGTGGAAGGGGGAGAGAGAAGAATGGAGCACGAAAGAAACTTGGCAGGAGGTGGGCAATGAACAGAAAACAAATGGTATAACCAGACGGGCAGGTCGGGTGGGCAGACCCATAGTGGGCAGGTTGGGAAGGCGGGCTCGGGCGACCAGGTCGAGCAGGCGGGTTGCTGAAAAGTGGGTCCTGCATGAATCGCTCTTCCGTCTGGAGCGATAGCGCGATTCCCAAGTAAATCGTGAGGAATTCCAAAGGGAGAGCGTCATTCCTGAGAGCCGAGGGCGCATCGTCATAATAAACTGCGAAGAAGTCACACGCGACAGCGCGATTCGTACATACATTGCGAGGAAGTCCCGCGCGAGAGCGCGATTCTTCAATACATTGCAAGGAGTTATCAGGCGGAAGCCGTTGTTGCTGTAGTTCAGGGGACAGGGGCGCAGTTTGAGAGGGAAGTTTTTTTGATAAAATACAGGGTGTGAGTCCCAGGAGGGGCACTTCAAGTGAAACGCACATTTGTTACCGTAGGGGGGATCAACAATCATTATTCTTCAGAAGTGAGAGTTCAACACCAACAACACCACCAACAACAATAATTTGCATCGCGGAATCCCACTTTTGCCGCGCACCCAGGGACAGTGAATGACCTTTCGGCCCCTTCACCCGGATTCTATATCTATGTATTTATCAGAGTGAGGGGGCCGAACGGTCATTCATTGTCCCTGCGCGCATGGCTGAATAATTGGTGTGAATTATGTTTGTTGCGTTGTTGTTGTAG